CGGTAAGTCGATCCATCAGGAACGGACGGACATGATTCTGATACCGTATCGTCCTTGAGGCTCCGAATGGACTCGCGATCCTAAGCAATACATTCCCGGATGGGGACTCACGCAACAAGGCATTGGCCATTTACACGGCATGTGGTCCTCTTGGGTCGACCATAGGCACTGTCGTCGGTTCTCTTCTGGCATGTATGTATCTGCGTCTGTCCCTAGTGCGTATAGACCGCTTGAGCGTCCCGACTGACTCTCTATAGCTTCGGCAGCAGGCTGGAGATCCATATTCTGGCTGTGTCTGATCCTTACAGGACTTTCCGCAATACTGGCCTGTTTGTTTCTGCCACGGTTTGCAAAGAGAAAGGACATACCTATTGATATACCGGGTACCTTTGTCTTTACAGCTGGCGTAGCGTTACTGGTATACGGCCTCAATGACAGTTCACGAAACGGTTGGAAATCTGCTGCGGTGTTGGCCGGGATTATCCTGGGAGTTTGTCTCCTATTTGTCTTCCTCTGGGTGGAGGCCAAGGTGGTCAATCCAGCGATTCCCGGTTACCTGTGGAAGTCTCCCCCGTTTCTGGTCATGCTGGTTGCCATCTTTGCCTTTGGCGGGAGCTTCAGCACGTGGTTCTTCATCTCCACACAGCTCTGCGTCAATCTTCTGGGTTATACTACCATTCTAACCGCCGTGTATTTTCTGGTACGTCTGCCCCCCAGTTCATTATAGCTATTCTTTGTCTTAGACTTGGTACTTGTGCCTGACCCCAGGAACAGCCCGCTGCCTTTGCCGCCATTGCTAGTGGAGTCTTCGCTACACCCTTGATCCGATTAGCAGGGGAGAAGAATATCCTCGTGGCCGGGTTGGCCATCACCGCCGCCGGCGCCATCGCATGGGCCTTTGCTACCCCGGACCGGGCCGGCGGCACCAGCCACGGGGAGGGATATTGGTATTCCATCGTTGCGGCCATCATCTTCGTAATCGGCAGCCCCGTTGCTCTGGTGCCGACGCAAAGCATTCTCCTCCGCCTGGTCGAAGCGGGCAATCATGCGGTTGCGGGCGCGCTGTTCAATACCGCCTACCAGGTGGGTGCGAGCGTTATCTTGGCTGGGGCAAATGCTTTGATGGATAGGAGCCGCCGCGAGACTGTACAGGAGGCGAGGCAGGTTACTATAGACGGGTACCTGAATGCCTTTTGGTTGATAGCTGGGGTGCTAGGGGCTGCGGCGTTGACTGTTCTGGTTTGCTATTGGCCAAGGAAAGATGATCTGGTAGAGAGGCAGATGGAAGAGGCTCAGGCAGTGGAGACTATTGCATTGGACAAAGTGGGAAAGAATTGAAGCTTTTCAAACTTGCTTGCTATTAGACAGGTGTCGACGGAGGCCGAAATGACTCAAGACAAGAGGTAGTCATCTAGAAAACACGGCATCTCCATTCTCCCACAGCAAAAGAATATCATATCATTGCTCAACCCAACCGCAACAGAATTATGGCACGTTTTGGCCCTACACAATGCAATGATCACAATTATCACTAATTAGGATAATATAAGCAATAGCGACACCAAATGTCCGAATGGAAAAGAACTGGAACAGCACCAAAAGGAGATGGAGCTGATCGAAGGGGTCTCAATGATTCTTCGCCAGCTACACGACGATGGGCTTATCTCACTGGGTGGAATTTATTTACTTGACTAAAGATGTGAAGCAAAAGGAGCTACATACAAAAGTCTGGTCGTACTAATGAAGAAAGGTAAAGGAAGGTTGAGTAAAATGGAATTCGATTGCGCATCTTAACTCCCCTAGATACTCTTAGCTGTTCCGCTTCAGTGACTTATATATGGAAGGAGGGGGGGAGGAGGAATTTTTTTTTTTTAAGATATAGGAGGTACTAATTAGATCCTGCTATATATACATTAATATATCTAAGCCCAGACAGCAGTTTGGCGCCACCCGCCCCCATTTTTATCATTAATTGATTGAATTTACATAAGGCTGAATCTCGGCCCCGCTTGTGTCAATATCAGAAACCCCAAGGTTACTGCCCCGGACTATGACACTGCGTCATTAATGCAGGGGCCATTGCCCTGCTTGGTGCCGCTTACTTGCATATACATGGTTAGATCCCATCTTCTGTTGTCCCGATCATGTTTCCAACTTCCAGTTCCGCCCCAATCCTAAGGTCCGGCCCCCACCGACGCCACCAGATTGGGGCCGGACCGCATCTCCACATGGAGGACTAGCCCTAACTCCAACTTGCCTGAGCTACGTCTATACAGTTTATGTTATGGTGCTAATACTGCATTAAAAGAGAATCTTTCCATCAATTCCTATCCTATCCACCTGTAGCAAGCAAAATTTACTAAACTGAAAATCCCAGTACACATTCTGTCTTGGCCCAGGCCAGCAATCCCTGGTTTAATCCTTCACCGGGCACAAAGCAAACTCATTCGCCGGCGCCCCGTCATGCGTCATAACACCGCAGTACGAGCCATCCTGCGTAGGATTGGTGTCGGGATTGCTCGAGTGGATGAAAAACACGACGCGGTCGGCGCCAGGGTCGCCACCGCCGTAGATACTATCCCCGTGCAGGAGAGGGAACTCGTACAGCGTCTTGCCCTTGCATTCCGAAGCGAACGCTAGCTTGCGGTTGTTGCCGAACTTGTGAGGGTAGCCGCCTGGAAAAGGTCAGTGGTGGTGGAATGGCATAATGAGGTAACGCTACAAACCGGGCTGGGGCTCGTTGGTTGGTGTCGTGTTGATGCCTCGCTGGATGGCTTTTTCGACTTGGGCACGGCTGTAGCGGTAACCTGGGCACTCGATGAACTGGTCACTTGGGGGAAGGTTGTCGACGGTTCGCTTGCTCAGAGCATCGACGGGGGCGGGGGCTGCAGAAGAGGTTTGCACGAGGGCAAGGCCCAGGCTCAGGAGGGTGAAAGCTGAGAGCTGCATTGTGATGGAACTTGGTCTTTGGAGACCAGAGATAACTATTGCTGTCTATTGAGATGGTGGATGGAGCTGGAGATAGAGAGAGCAATGGACAGCTGGAAGAGGGTAATTTATACCTTTGTGAGGCTTCTCTGGAGGATAGACCAGAGATTGTACAGAACTTGATAACCAGCATCATCCTTCCCTTTCAAAGCTGCCAAGATGGACGATGTAACTCGAGTTGACATCATGATAGACCGGTCTGCCTGTACAGGCCTCTTTTGGAGGTTTATCTCACGTATGAATACGTTGGCCTACATGGCGCAGCATCTTTGTCCTTCTTAATTGAGGAAAGATGTGCCTGGCTGACATCTAATCAGACCACATTAGCATGATAATTGACCAGACAAATGTCTTTCGATTGTTGGATTCTCAGCCTTGTAGCTCAACTCGGTCAATCATGATCACTCGCAGGTACGTATTCTTCCGTGTAAGGCCCCAATAGAGGCTCGGCTCGAGTACCATGCCTGGGTAGTCGGGTAGTTATCAGTTATCCTATCACAGCCGAGTGCTTTTGTTGCTTTCAATGAGTATAAGCTTACCAGTCAGCGGGCTATGCAGCCATAGACTGATTCTGAGATTGGCACAGTATCATATTATGGTAATCCATGTTGGATGATGCAATAAAGGATTGAGAACCGGTGTGAGGAATAATTTCCAACATGTTAAGCGAAAAGAAAGACTTTGATTGGAAGAGCAATAATATCTTGGCTGCATAGACTCTAACCCTAGAATAGGCGGCTGCGGCTGTGCTTATTCCTGATGGCACATCATGCAGGTGCGATGACGCATCAATGGACAACCACCCAACTCTTATGTTATTTACCTATTTAGATGCTAAAATAAAGACATCAAGAGTTACAACCACCAGAAACTCACACCAAAAGAAAACATCTCCCAGTGTTCCACCTTTCCACCTTCCACCTCAAAATGACCACTATTCTCGACATCCCAGGCACCAACCCCCCAAATCCCTTCACCATCCCCATCCAAGCCCTTCTCACCACTACCAACCGATCCTCAACTCCAGACGAAACAGCCGGCCACCTCGTCACCGCAGTCACCACCTCTCCGGACCCCGCCCACTCCCTCTGGCAACTCTGGGACGCCTTCTTCACCGCCGTCGCCACCTCAACAACACACACCCCCCACCTCGCCCTCCTCGACGCCCTCCGCGCACAACCACCAACACAACCTACCAACGTCCGCGCCGGTTCCGACGCACAGCGCAACCTGCGCAGCTACATCAGCGCCGACGGAAACCTCCACTGGGAGACGCTGCCCCGCTTCAGCGCGCAGTGGCGCGACGTGCACGATATCCTCGAGGCGTGGCGCGACTGGGACGGGGTGCGTGATTCCAGCTCCCCTGCCACTACTCCTACTACAGTAATCAGCGGCGCAGAGTACTTTCTCCGCTTCTGCAGCTTCTCCGCTGCGCTGTTGAAAACCACCAACGGGAAAGGCGGGGTGCATCCTGTGTGGGTCTTTTATGCGTGTCGCGACGTGCTGGAGTGTGAGCGACTGGACCGGGACCGGCAGCCAAAACCGCATAGAATCGCGCCGGAGGAGGTCTGGGCGCTGGATGTCCGCGTGGCGGCGACGTGGGTGCGGGATGGGGGGAGCGCACTATGGGAGGCGGACCACGAAGAGCTTCGGCGGCATTGGGGTGCCGCGTTGGATGAGAAGACGCAACTGTGGCCGAGAGAGGATGGGCTGACGCGGGAGCGGTGGCAGTTGTGGGAAAGGAGGTTGCGGGAGTTGAGTGCTGAGGGAGAGATTCTGGATGGCGAAACTAGGGCTGTGGTTGCGGAGGCTGCTGACTCGGCTGGTGGTCTTTTGAAAGGAAACTGATGGTTCTATCTCAACCGCAGCTTGAGTCTGGCTGACGGGAAGCCGAGTGGAGGGAGGCTACTTTCTTGCTCTGTATTATGCGCAAGTAATATCACAAACCAGTATGATGTATCTAAGATTACTCCAGCTTACTTTTTGAATTCTTCATATATAAAGAGTGTCTTTTAAGAAAGGACCTTTATGCTCAACTACAAGGTCAAATTAGCAGACGTTCAGCCACCATGGCACCACTGAACATGCAAACCTGAAAGAACCCTCTCAATGCATCGAAGATGGCCCCTTTAATGGGCGGGTCGATCAGCGCCCCCAGGCCAGCCACGACCATGCCCATACCCATGTAGGTGCCGACATCCTGCGGGTTTGTGGGGCAGGTCGCAAAGGCCGCTGATGCGCCGGAGATGATTGTGCCGGAGGTGAAACCAAAGAAGACGGCGTAGACCATCAGGCCGGCATTTGTGGTTGTGGAGGTCATGCAGAAACCGAGATTCCCGTGGCGACGCCGCCGATGGCGAAGGTGCTGAGGTGGCCGTACTTGTCTGCGAGTTGATCGCAAAACTAGCCACATGCGAGAGCAATGATATATTCTCCACCATATCCCTTGGAGCTGTGTTGCTGTTTCCAAACGTAATGAATGCCATCTACAACGTCTCAAGGGCCCTGGCGTCTCTGCCTAGACCACATGAAGTTGTCGGCTACGAGTGAGTCTCCCTACGTGTTCTCCGGCACTACGGCACATTAACAGGTATAGTTGGCTCTACGGCGAAACACGGAGCGCCCTAGAACGCAGCGCGTGGGACAAGGTAACATTCTATCACCAAGGCAGCACCGAGGAGCTGGATGGATCAGAGGTAAGGACGCGCCAATCACCTTTTGGTTATGTTTAAGTAATTTCTCTCGTGCTAACGACTTCAGTGCTGTGGTGAGCACTCAGTCACCCCACTACGGGACCATCAAGTCCAGTCTCAAAAGAATATGAAGACACGCTCTGCCCACTGGATGCCATCACCCCTCAAAGCAACAGCATAGATGTCGTTTGGAGAGTACAGCGCGCTAACGGCAACGCTCTGGCCGTCGTCAATCGTGTTGCACGCCACCCATCTGTCGCGCAGATCCATCATCACTCGACTGCCCTCACTGACCCTTTCTCCAATCGGCACCGTCAATTGCGCGGCGGGTACGGCCAAGACGTGAGTATTGTCTTTCGCAAACGCCGAAGCGCAAGTATCTTCTACGATGAGCTGTACGTGTGAAGGGGACCAGCTTTGGTCCAAATCAAGCGCTTCCCGCAGACTAGGTAGATTCAACGTATGAAAACCAACCAAGTCAATCCCATCACCACCACAGCCTTCCACAAACTCCCCCTCGTCACCGCCGCACCGGAGCATCCAAACTGATTAATCTCCCGTGACTGCGCAAGGCAATCATGTAATTGCTCGCGGGTACTCTCCGTAGCATTGCAATATGCAGCGCAGCTCTCCTGGCCAAAGTAGCCTATCGTCCCGTTTACTTCGTGGCAGCATTCTCCCAAGGTTGTGTAGGGGTCTTGTGTGGCATTCCATTGTTGGTAGATTGGGACGCCGCAGGTGTTGGGGTAGGTGAGCTCCGGGAGGCCGGTGATATTTGCGCAGCGGGCAGGGCCAATGGATGCCATTGTTGTGTTTTGTTTTGATGTCAGCAATGTGGTGTAGGATTTTGTATTCTATTGACTGTAAGTAGGTGTACGTACTCAGTGGAAGAAGAGCTTACTGATGATTAGGTTGGTCGAGGTACAGGGGTAGATGTTTAAGGAGAATTGTCAAGATGTTAACAGGTAGGTATCTATAGCAGAAAAAAAAAGGAAAGAAATCTGACAGAGGTCTAATATGGGGAACTTCATCAGTGAGGTTACATTGTTACATAAACTTAATCACTAGAGATAGTCCTCCAGTGTTGCTGTCTTGCCTGTTTGGGTTAGCAGTACTAGTTACTAGTTCGCGATGCGGGACGGCTGCGCGGGATGGCTGTACCCACTGACTAGCATTTAGTTAGTTGGAGTTCAAGTTTGATCCCAATTATTATCTACTTCTATGATCTTACAGTGGTATGTTCATAGGACAGGGCATGCACAGCTGGATGATCAGCAGAGGTGGCTGTTTCAAGCTTTATTTTTAGCTATAAGCTTATCGATGTCAGGGACTGACATCATACAGGCAACTATAGAGAGGTATACTATACCTCATGAGCCACCCCAGTGATCTTGATCAGAATCACATGTCTGTCAATATATGTGCTATATACTAGTCTTTTGAATAACTCTGCAGCCTGATAGTGATAATATATTAAGCTTGGATCCTCTTACCTAACATTTCAGCGTAGGCGGGCTTGGCAGCTTAGCCGAAAAGATAAAGGATGTTTTAGCTGCCAAGGCTGCCTTGGGCCCTTGGCAGTTATAGCTCCTTTGTGAGAACATGTTTACCTCGCCCTACCTACTGCTTTGGCTCATTTCCAACCAGTCCAGTGCTGAGCGCTATTACCAGAGCATGAATCACCCACACTAATATGACCTGATATGGCAGATCCTGGAATTATATTTCTTCATTTACTCCTTTCAGCCTAGCTAATTAGCAGGGATATAAGTAGATCCTGGTAGGTCCCTGAGGTGATTCATGAAGTATAGTAAGTCATGTTTGACCGCCATAAGCTTCTGAAAGTGATCATACAGTCTAGCTATGTTGAATTACCCAGGTTTACTCACCATCTTACATACACATTGTTTTCCACCATGCTACCTTTTGAGGGATTAAGCAGCATTATACAAGATTAAGCAGCCTAAGCAAACCCAAGCAGTGCACAATCCTGCTCAGTGGGAAGCCAGCAATCCAAATCGTACACCATTGGCTGGACATCGAGTGCGTCCGCGGCTGGGTGGATTTCCGGCGGATTTTCCGTGACAGAGAGCTGGACGACGGGCAATACGTACTCGTGCAACGGCGGCCCTCATGAGACTATCTGTGTCTGGTACAATACCGCCCATACCGCATATACCGTCCGGAACACCATGTGGAACAGATGTACGGGCTACGCGCCTGATAACCATGGATCTGATTATGTCATGTTCTCTCCCAATATCGACAATAAGGGCGGTAACTACTACTGCATTGTTGGTACCTGCCGGAGCCAGGGAGAGAACTACTGGGATAAGAGTGGCCGAGCCGGGGGACCATGATCCGTCTCAGATACCGTAGGTTAGCAGGAAATTGAAGAGAAGGTGACGGAGGTTGGAGTAGGTGCCTTAATGGCAACTGCTGTTTACAAGGAAGAGGTTCTATTATTTAGGATAGAGAAAAGGGATTAGCTTTGTTATTAGAATGGACAGAATCAGGCACCATGCTCAAATGCCGGCCAGACAGTTTGAATGCTCAGCATGGAACAAGGGGTGCTCTATCTCTGGGACGTATCTGCTGACCCTTGCATAAATTTCCTAACTGGACAAATGAATTAGGCATGCTTAAATGTGGCGTGCTCAGAAGAGAAGTGCGAAGTTTACGTCTACAGCAAGGAGATCTGGGAAGAATGCTATAGCAATATGATGTTGTGGTGAATCATTTTGTAACTCCCTCCTTGCATAAGCTATTTGAAGTGTTTCCGGTTTCGGGCCATACCGCGGAGGCAAGTCGATTTGGTAACCAGTTATCGTCCTTTCGAACATAAATAGACGACACCTTCATTCTTGCGCAAGCGTTGCTCATTCACCGTAATCATCGATTCCAGTCGTGAATCTCGGCCCCCTTGATATGCGGTTGGCTTGATTGAGTCTTTCAGAGGTCCTAGATGACTTAAGGCTAAGTCTGGTTCGGACATGACTACCGTTCAGTGAGCCTATAAAGAGCCGGGTCCCTTTTTATATTCGTTCCAGTCTTTTTCTCAACAGGACCTTTCCAACGGATAAGTAAGGGTATCCTTCGCGATGGATACTCCACCAGAAAAGGATTGGATTCAGCTGGACAGTGGTCAGGTCCGAAGCGGACTTGGCCTCGTGTCATCTAGGACCTCTGAAAGACTTAATCAAGTCGACCGTATTCGTGCCAATGGGGTTGGAGACCACATCGCACTTCCGCAGCTGGTTGTTTGTGGGGATCAATCCGCGGGCAAAAGCTCTGTCCTAGAGGGGATCAGCGGAATCCCCTTTCCTCGCCAGGACGGAGTTTGTACTCGGTTTGCCACGGAAATTATCCTTCGCCACGAGCCAAAATATCGTCGGAACACCGCTACCATTATCCCTCACATCTCTCGCACGGAAGATGAAAAGGCCAGGTTGAGCGCCTTTCACCGCGAGGTCAGCGACCTCGCACATTTGCCCGGCATTATCGATGAAGCTGCAAAACTCATGGGCGTGCAAGGAGCCAATGACTTGGCTGATGCCCCAACTTTTGCCGCTGATGTACTTCGTTTGGAGGTTGTCGGGGATACCGGCCTGCATCTGACCCTTGTTGACCTGCCTGGGCTAATTTCCGTCTCTGAAAACGAGGATGACCTGCAGCTTGTCAACGACCTCGTGAACTCATATTTGGAAAACTCGCGGACAATCATCCTTGCCGTGGTCCCCGCAAGCAGCGACGTGGATACCCAAAGTATCATCCAACGTGCTCGTCGTTTCGACAAGGAAGGCCTTAGGACTGTTGGAATCATTACCAAACCAGACCTTATCAATGACGGCACCGAGGCACGTGTTGCAAAGCTGGCCAACAATGCTGATAGGACGAAACTGAAACTCGGATTCTTCCTTCTCAAGAATCCTCGCCCTATTGATCTGGAAAAGGGCATAACTATGGTTGAGCGTCGGAAGATGGAAGCAGATTTTTTTGCGAATCACCCTTGGAATAAACTTGGACTCGATCCTTCACGTGTCGGCATAGATAATCTTCGAGTCTTCATGCAAGACCTTCTTGATCGACATATTGAGCGCGAATTGCCCAAGGTTCGGAAGGATGTGACTCAACTGCTCAATGAGATCAACAAGGAACTCATGGATCTCGGGACCCAACGAACGTCGCCTGCGCAGATACGTATGTACCTGATTCGCATTGGTACTGACTTTCAAAATCTCGTAAGGGCTGGAGTTGAAGGAATATATGGCGCACGAGACGGGTTCTTTCATGAAATCAATGGTGAAAAAGACCATCACCGTCTTCGAGCCGCAATCCACATGGAAAACGGGAGGTTTGCCAACTACATGAGACAACATGGACAGAAACGCAAAGTTGTTTCGGCTGAGTGTCAGGAAGATACGGATTCAGACACCGGCCAGATCTTGGTAACCAAGGAGCAAATGTCAGTGTGGATCAAAAAGGTGAGATCATGGCCATCTCCAAATAACACCAAACTAACCGCCGCAGATTTATGACCGCACCCGTGGCCGAGAACTTCCTGGAAATTATAACCATGCACTGCTCGGTGAACTATTCCATGAGCAGTCGTGTCGCTGGGGCGATATTGCTCGCGAGCATGTCACTACCATCACAGATCTGGTGTCTCGATTTATCCAGTCTGCCTCGGCATTTGTGATAAAAGATACCAATGCCCGGGAGAACATTTTGCGTATTATCGTCGCAAAATTGGACGAGAATGCTGAGTGCGCGCTCCATGAACTGAGCAAGTTGCTAGATGACGAGGCTGGATGTCCTATCACATACAACCATTACTATACGGACAACGTCCAAAGGGCGCGCAACAGCCGTTTGAGGCAAGACCTGGGTACATCACTCAATAATGCTATTAATGAAGACTGGAATGGTCGCTTTCATGTGAGCAACTCGTCTGATGAAATCAGTCGGCTTGTGGCATCTCTCCAAAATCATGGTGTCATCGTCGATATGGAAGAGCGAGCTTGCTACGAAGCTCAAATTGATTTGGATGCCTATTACAAGGTTCGCGGCTCCCCCCCACCCAACCCCCCCAGGGCGATGATGTGTCACCACTACTTGTATTGACAGTACGATAGGTTGCTATGAAAACCTTTGTCGACAATGTCTGCCGCCAAGTCATTGAGAGACATATTCTTGCTAAGCTTCCAACTGTATTCAATCCAATGACTATAGCTACCTTTTCGGATGAAGATCTCGTTCACTTAGCTGCGGAGTCACCTAAGTTTAGCAAGCGTCGGGTCGAGGCCATTCAGCTACAAGAGGCATTGGAGGACAGCCTTCGTGATTTGCGTTGATTTGACATTTTTGTACTGCTCCGGCGGGGTTTTTTTCCAACCTTGGTTTTCCCCCTCCGTCACGCAAATGCGGGAGCGAAGTTCTTTGATTCTGTTCAGTTTCAAGGCACTTTTTGTTATGTATCTGCCGTTAGAGACTAGCACCAATACTTTTGGGTACCGGTTTACCTTGCCCGGCCAAGATTCAAAGAAGCTGCCTTAACCCTCATGCAGGCTGTGCTGGTGACTGACAGGTTATTGGACTGGAATGAGTTGAAAGCTCCAGAAACAATCTTTGTGCCGACCTCAGCCCTCAGTCATCTTTGTCTGCAGGGTACAAATCTGCCCGAAACTGCACTCAATAGTCTGACGTGGGGTGATTATAGGCAACGTAACCATATCGTACTGAACAACAGAAAAATTCATCGGACTATCCCTTGATGGATTTCATCATCTCTCACCACCCATCATACCTCGTCGCATTGGCAATGGCAGCGGGGCGGAGCATTATTCGCAGACGCCGCTCCAACAGCCGCGAATTAATACGCCAGCAGCAGGCTCGCCGGAGAAATAGTATCCTCCGGAATTCCTTTGAATATTGTCGGGAATGAGAAGTCAATGTCTTCATGATAAGGCTTAATCATGTTTTCCAATTCTGACCCCCAATGGCCTCTTTCACGAGAGAAACTGGTAGGCGTTTGTCACCCATTCAGCTGCTGACCCCGGTTTAGGCCTTACACTACCTAAAGCTGAGAGAGATAACATGGCATTACCAGGCTACCGAATGTGCCCGCAGAGGGTATTTTCAACCGCATAAGGCAAACAGGGAAACGATTCCCAGCCATGGGGAGTGGATATAAACATCACCCTCACCCTGGGTAGGCTTAGCTTGGTGCTGTCTCTTTTCTTGATGTAGATGCGGCGTAGGGCCGGTGGTATGTGATCCGCAAGGATCGAGTCGGCGTCGTGATCAACCATCTCTGGTAGGGATAAACTGGATACCATTTCTTGTCATCGCTACCCATAGCCTCAAATCCAATGTTTAAAACTTGTAATTTCAAATTGGAGCCTGACTGGGTGAGCAACATCTATCAAATCTGTTCATCCATTGAGCGACCTCCATGCGACCGCGTACCATAATCTCATATGGGCCAAGGGTTGAAGCGTTTATAGTAATATCATGATCCCCTCGTTGCCATGTTCCCCGCGCATAAGAGACTTGTACTCAACTATGATTAACCCAATGTCGGATAAATGCGAATTCACATGTCCGTAAGCTTGATAGAAGTTAAATACCTACTTAGGGAAAGATCAGAGAAGTCAAGGATTGTTGAATAGTGAACCTGACTGGGCAAATCCTACGGATGAAGGCTGTGACTCAATTCAGGTCGATACTGGTGGTAACGTATCGAGACTACTGGACTTCCCGGGACTCCTCCTCTGAAGTACTGGCGCACCTGAGAATAGTATTATACTCCAGGAATGGGAATCACTGCTGCAATGGACACAGCATTCGCAATAGGTGACTGATGGGGCAGTATCATTTCTTCCGTCGACCCTGATAATTCTTCCAATGTGACTGGCATATCATGGGGGCAAATTCCAGATAAAGTCCAAATTCAAGTGGCCTGAGCGCATCCCCAGGTCGTCGAGTCCATCATTCCAGTACCCGAATGGCGCCATCAAAGGGTCCAGCGGGAGTGACAACCAGTCACCAGAGCCATTGGCCGGGCCAGACCAATCGATCATACTGGGATCCCAGTCGGGGTTTTCAGCAGCGGTGGCCACCGGACTACCAGGCTCTTGATTTACCAGGTGGGTGTAAGAATTGCCTTTGTCGTTAACCTGGCTGGAATTGGCAATGGTCTGTCGGAGTTGCGAGATATGAACCTTCAACAGGGCTGCATACCGTGAAACAAGGTATATGTCGTCTAGATGATCGGAGTCCAAAATAGCGATAGCCTGGTCCAGCAGATGGAGGGATTCCTGCAGCTTCGATGGTCGTACGCCCAGAGCAAGAGCCTTGAGAATGAAGATGGAGGAGCTGATAACGCGGAGGAATACTCGGATAGGGTAAAAGGACAGCTGTTTCGCGCCTGGTAGCGAGACAATACGGGTAAGGATTGCGCTGGCGCCATCGATGACTTCTTCGATGAACTCGTGCTCGCTCCTGCTTAGAGGAATCTGGCGCGCCTGAGAGAGGAATGCCGCGTTTACCGTTCCATGGGGTTCTGTCTGTGATAGCACCCGCTCGACGATGCCTTGGACGCCCAGAGAATTGGATAGTACCCTCAGGTACTGGTATTCGATCTCGAGGACGATATCATAATGAAGGTCTGGTCTCATGATCAGATCCGGAACATGTCATTCGGTGACTGACTTACTATCGACACGCTGATGATGCTGCCGCCATAGCCCCAGCCGCCCTTTCCACTCCTCTAAGGATCCAAGGTCAATGGGACGACGGCAACAGGGGTCAGCAAAGAACGTCTCCCTGAGGGTCCGTGTCAACTCCGTCAATTCCACCCAAGATGTCATCAGTCTTGTCCATTCCGAGTCAACTCCCGACACACCACTGAGACCTGTCAACTGACACTTGTCCGGCATGATTGATGTGCAGCCAATTCGAAAAGAGAGATGGTTGATAATAACATAAAGGAGAGCCGGTAGCCGCTGCCTTCTGACTTCCAGATGGCAGACATATGCCGTTACATGCGGCCCTACATTTCGACTGTTGTCTGATCGGTTCCCGGAAGCAAACACACCAAGCTCGTGTGCGAGAGCCAGTGCAGAACACACCAGCATCCAGGACATGCGGTCTGACCGTCTTGTTGGCTCCACAACATCTTCTCGCCAGCGGTCTCGCATGGGGCTTTCTTCGGTCCTAGGGGGCGGATCCCTCTCGCTGGGTGCCGTCAGCATCAAATCCGAATCCCATCCATCATTCTCAGGTGGAAAATGTAATGCCCGCGGGTACCACTCTGATAAGAGTAGAAGAGCCTCGACCGTTCCCAAATGCCTTGTCTTCGCTTTGGAAAACTTCTCCTGTCCGAGCATGATACGTAGAATAAGATGCTGGCAGTGCTGCCATAATCTATTGTGGACGAAGAATCCGCGCGTGGCACCGGACGGCCCTGGCAGGGTATGGTACCTGGAGGAGATCATCAAGATGGCGCAGCATAGGACTGGTTCTTGCGTGATGAGCCAATAATGCGTATGATGAGAAGCGAAAAAGTCCGTCAAAATAGGCGACAAAGGGGCCATATTGCGGAAAAACCTGCAGGCCCCAGTGAGACAACAAGCTTCCAGGTCGATAGGAGCATGGCGTACTCACAGATCAACATACAAAAGTGCTTCGCGCGCAGTGAACCATCCCATCTTGACAAAGCGACAACCACTCCAAATTTCCAGAACATCAGTCTTCGAGATGCAGTCAATCTTCAAATTAGTACTTGCCAGCGATTGCTGCTGGGGCGTCTCATCCGTCTCGGCTCCGGAGAGAACGGGCGCCTGGACCTGCTCAACTGCCGCATCGAACAGGATCTTCAACGCATCATTCCCGCTAGTCACTTTCTCCCGTAAGACTGTGTTCAATACGCCATCCGCAGGACGTTTGCCAAAGACATGTTCCTCGGTTGAATCCTCAACCGAGGGTAGAGAGCCTCTGAATGCAGCGTCTGAGCTGTCGTTTACCTGGATTCGAGGGACTCTCGACGTTGTAGTGGTATTCCGCGACGTGTCTAATCCATAATGAGCCCGTCGGCTACTTTCAATGAATTGTAGAATGTCATACCATTCGAGCTCCTCGACCTCGACCAAGGCTGCTTCGTGGTGAACCGGCATTGGATCCTCAACTTTCCACATCGTGTGCATGGTGGACTAGGGTGTGCCGTATCCAGTTCACATTTAACTTTTCTTTGGCGGCACGGAATGCAGGCTTTATACGTTCGTTGGAACTGGTATTCCACTGGTGCCCTACTCCGAGAGGGGCGAGGCATCTTGGGTGAGGACGAGGATTCAAAAGAGATGAAGAATCTCTAGAGATGTTGCAAAATGCGGGGTGATGATTAAGGTTTGGTGTACTGTACGTGCATTGGACTAATTGCTGCGGGAACTAAAAACTCGGGCGAGTAATTGAATTATCTCTAAGCTGTTTCGTACGTTCTATCCAATTAGTCGGATAAGATCATAGGCCAGATGTGGATAGACAATCCGCTGTCCAGCTGCTGTCAATTAGATAGTGTTAATGGACTGTGCTAAGGCGCACCACTAAAATAACACCACAATGCCTCAATCGGCAGAAACTGGCATATGGCCTCATGCGTAACCTAATAACCGTTTAAACCAAGTAGCGGAACTGAGGGTCTTTATCGCCGTTCCCAGTCACGTCCACACGAACATTCTCATCCACAGCACCATACACCATGTCCCTCCTTTTGTTCTCATGGACCAACTTCGCATACAACCCCAGCGCCAGGACTGCAATGCACCCCGTCAAAGCACATCCAATGGCGCATCCGCGAACATAGAACGGGCTACGAGGACTCAGATCAGCAAAGAAGGCACTGCTATCAGAACGAGTCGAAGGTCGACATACCCCTCTGTTTTAGGAAACGCGGTACTGCTCACAAAACTCGAGCATTGACCAAAAACAGCCAGAATCGCCATCCCGGCACCTTTCTTTGAATCTCCGCCCTGATTGTTTAGCAACCAGGTGATATTGATGCTTAGGGCAGGAAAGATGCCGCACGTGGCAAGCCAAACGCCCAGATATCGCACCCCAGTCTTCGACTCGTCTTGCACCAGGGCAAGGATTAAGTATCCGATCATCCCGGTCGTCGCCGAAGCGGCAATTACCAGACCTCGTCTGCCATATCGGTCGGAGATTAGCGCTGCCACAATGCATAGAAAGAAGGAAACGAGGTATGGCGGTGCAGCTAGACCCTGTGCGTTGATGGAGGTATATCCCATATCGTGCAAAATGGTGGGGAGGAAATTGGACAAGCCCGCAAAGGAGAAATTACAACAGAAGTGGATGAAGGTGTGCACCCAGTTCTTGTAGTCGGTAAGCCCCCTGAAGACCTGGCTACGGTCGAGTCGGTTCTTTGCCGTGCGGTCAAAGGTCTGTAGTCGTTCGACGGCTTGGGTCCGCTCGGTTTCGTTCAGGAATTTGGCTGTGCCCGGCGAGTCAGGGAGGAAGAAGAATACGACGCCGGAAAAGAGAACAGTGGGCGCGCCCTCTGTCTAGGTCAAAAATTGAATTGTGGCCATTAGTCTGAGACGCGGTCACTTACCGATGATAAACAAGTATCTCCAGGAGGCGATTGAATGTCTGATATGGATAATGCCGTATGCCAAGGCGCTGGCAAAGCAATTGGCCACAGGCGACATACCTAGCAACAAAGAGACACGGAATCCTAGCTCCTGACGCTGGTAGAAGAGTGAGAGGAAATATGGCGCTCCAGCACCGAAGGCAGCCTCGAATACTCCCAGGAAGCAGCGGCAGACAATCAACTCGGCAAGATTATTCACAGCACCACTGCACATGGCTGCTGCGCCCCAGCTGACACATTGCTGTTCAGTACGTTCTAAGAATGGATATGAAGCAGTTCACACGTACCAGATACATAATACAGCAACGTATAGGTGTGCTGGGAAAAGTTTCCAAAGCACCGTAGTCCACTCGAAAAGAACGTAACAGATATAAAAAGCGTTGAGGACCCACGACCATTGAGAGTCTGTTAGGCCCAAGTTGGCCTCTAGGCCAGCAGTCTTCGCATTGCCGATGTTTCCTGCCAGGTCAGATTCTGTGGTATCACAGTGGACTGGCAGAGATACCTCGATCCAAGTACGACAGGATGTATAGAGTGCACACAATAGGCAAGACCCGGCGGTCGAACTGAGCCATTTAGCCACTGCCAATGGAAAAGGCTGTCTCTTCTTACCATTCTCCGAATATGGACTTGGTCAGAGGGAGCCACCTGAACTTGCTGAGGTTGCTTCTCCATGTTCGTAATATCAACATCGTCCACGTGGCGAGCGTCAGCCTCCTCCTTGATGTGGTCCATGCTGCAATATTATGGTGTTTGAGGCAGGAATAATCGTGAATCAACTATCATGCAGCCATGGAGTGTCCTGTTTTATATTCAAGCACCTGAGGCTAAAGTTTCAACTCAACAATCACCAGACCCACCATTTCCATGTCCCCATAAATGGGATCCACGCCCATGCACTATCCCTTGGTCTCTTCCCCACGGGGAAGAGGAGAACAGATCGGCTAACTGGCAATATCCGTTTGTTACAGCGGGGGGATTCGTAGGGCATCGATATTATGGTCGAGCCGAATCTCTTTTTCTCGAATGTGCGGCACTATCCCAATAATCGATTACCTTTACCCGTTGGTGCGTGGCGTCATTTTGACTTTCATCATTCTACCTCGGTGGTGGTTGTACTCCGCTGTCTGTACGTTGTGGGCGGATATTGCCAAACACCCGCCCCATACTCTGTACTCTATTCCAACCTGCAAATAGCCGCGATGCTGGGTAGATGATGTTCTTTCCATCATCATAAATAGGCAATCTACTTGCTGGAAGAACATATTTGAACAGATCATTGTTTCCCTTTTTCAAAGTCCGTAAAGTCAAATTGTCTCCCCGCAAGCAAACTCACAATGACCATCCCATACCCGTTCAAGTTCACCACCACCGACCAACCCACCTCATCCTTTAGCGGAGAGACCACCTCCCTGACCGTCAAACTCGAGAACGTGCGGGGAAGGATCCCAAGCGCACAAGCCTCTCGTCTTCGGACGATTATGCTCGAAGCTCACAGCGATCCCAACAAGATCATCGCCCATGCATGCAGCTACGACGGGCTCTCCTCGCGCTTAGTCGAGGAGGCAGGCTTCCCAATTATCTTCCTAGCTGGCTATGCCGTGGCAAGTGGCTTCGGACTACCTGATACCGGATATATCGCAATGGAGGACATGTGCAGGAAGATCCAAGAAGTTGTGCGCATAACCAGCATCCCTGTCATGGCGGATGGGGATACTGGCTATGGAAGCCCGATGAATGTCAAGCGGACGGTTGAGTGCTTTGCTGCGGCCGGCGCGGCGGGCGTCATGATTGAAGATCAGACGTGGCCGAAGCGTAGGTTTCCGAACTCCCCCTGGGTGGTCATTACGCCCCGTCATGGGTAAGCTGACAGCCAGGTAGGATGCGGTCATACAAAGGGCAAATCTGTCGTCTCGCGCGGTGAAGCATACGCCCGTATTCAAGCCGCTTGTGATGCGCGCAATGAGGGCCAGGATATCTTCATACTTGCCCGGACCGACGCTCTGATCCACGGCTGGGACGAAGCGATGACTCGTGCGAAGGAGTTCACGCGGATCGGTGTCGATGCAGTCTTTGTGGAGGCGTTGCCGGACCGGGAAGCCATGAAGCGGTGCGCTGACGAAATTGGTATCCCAGTGTTTGCAAACATTATCGAAGGGGGAAAGACGGAGAATCTCTCTGCGCTGGAATTGGCGCAGTTGGGTTTCTGTGCGGTTGCGTATCCGTGGACGCTTGTAGCTGCCAAGCTCAAGAGTATCCGAGAGACTCTGGATGATTTGAAGAAGAGCATGACCATTGGTGCGCCACCAATGATACTAGGATACTCTGAGGTTTGCGAGGGTGTAGGTTTCAATCATTATTGGGTATGTTTTATCCTTCCCACCCTACCTACCCCTGCCTCCTCATAGAAGATCATCTCTTGCTGACAGTGACTAGGATCGTGAAAAGAGATATGAATATAGTGAGAACGGGCTTGTCAACGATCATCAGGATACTGTAGAGAGATAGAGGGTACCTCATGTATTTGCCCTCACAGAGGGCGTTTCTCCTCGTTCTTGGTACACAGAGAGGGCTATATAGAGACTCAAGCATATTTCTCTCTTGTCTTATGCAGCTCTGCCTGGGGATCTCCCAGCTTTGCAATAGCCCCATGAAACGAGTTATCCTCTGCCATGTTACTGACTACCGTTCTGGCTGCTTGTAAAATCGTCTGGGTATGAAACAATCTTTGCATCTACGATGTCCATAGCATCTGTGACACTAGCACATTCAACTACAGGGCTTCCCGTCAACAACTCAGTGTCGATAACAGACCCCTTCTCCAACACTCTATGGACTTATTGCAACAGCGCAATTCGATTTTCAAAGAACAATTGAGAAGCCAAAAAAGAAACAAAAACATACAACAGCCGGGATTCGCTGGTGGTCACCCACCCAACTACTAACCGGCCGGCGTGTGGCTTAAGTACGGCTGAGCGGACGGGAAGCCCTGTTTTCCACACCCTATGGTCGTATGTACTAGTCAGTACCAAAACAAGAATCTATATATCAAGTAATATTGTTCCAGTGTTTGGTTTGTCAGTCCTCATCCATTTGCCAACGTTGAGTTTTGGTTGTGCCTAATCAAGATGTTCTCGGGTTTGAGGTCCATGTGTGCACAGTGCACCTCCCATCTCAACTTAGTGTGTATAAAGAAATTAACAAGATCTAAATGCCTCGCTCATGTACTTGAACCCTATGACTGATTCATATGGATATGATTATGTGAGGTCTTCATATTACCTGTATGATGGTGGTATATATTTTGGCTTAACAACGAACACAAAAGGGGTGATGTCTGAGAGAGGAGCCTGAAAAACCCTCACCGTCGCAGAACCACTTCCTTCCTTCCCAGCGTTTGAGCAGACTTTGGCTTCTTTTGGCAGCAACACTCCGAAACCATTGCCAAAGTATTGATCCCCAGCACCACGTAGATGAGTCTGCCCATTTGGGGACGACAGATGAGGTTTCGTCGTGCTCTCCATAATTAGGGCACTTTGGCTCACCGCCAGCTTCACCGCCGTATATGGCTAATTGCCCATACCTTTCTGAGGTTGCAGCACCTTAAACGTCGATTCATCGGTGACCTCAGACGACGAGAGATACCCTATACAACAGATGGCCTACAGAAAACACTACATTCCCCTCGAATCCAACCCAGTACTCTTCACGCAGCTTATTCATCAAATAGGCGTGTCGCCTATTCTAGCATTTCATGATGTCTTGTCCATAGACGACTCAGAGCTTCTTGCGACTACCCCACGTCCTGCGCTGGCGCTGGTTCTGGCTTTTCCAACTTCAAGCGACTATGAGAAGAATCTAAAGGAGCAAGGGAGATTAATACCAGATCATTACGAGACAGCGGAAGGTGAGAACGTTATGTGGTACAAACAGACAATCAACAATGCCTGTGGGCTATACGCTATTCTTCACGCGGTTAGCAATGGCGACGCGAGAGATTTTATCCGTAAGTAGAACATCTGAAGATAGTGATCAATGGGACAAAAACCGTGTAGCCCTGAAATGCACCACTCATAACTTTTTACTTCACTTTTCGCCTGTCTTGGGAAGGGATGTTGATGTTTACAATCTACTGACTCGTCGGAAATTGTAAAATTATATCCGTTAGTTCCAGACTCCGACCTATCTCGTCTACTTGAGGTATGCGCGTCGTTAAATCCAATGGAGCGCGCCCGGGTCATCGAAGATGATGCCGATTTAGAAGCAGCCTATAAGGCAGTAGCTCTGCAAGGCGACTCAGAGGCCCCTGAGAATCCTGAGGAGGAAGTCGATTTCCATTATGTCTGCTTTGTTAGATCTCATAAGAATGGCCATCTCTATGAATTGGATGGAGATCAAAAAGGACCAATAGACAGGGGTTTGCTAGGTCCAAACGAGGACATTATTTCAGAAAGTGGACTTCGTGTGATCCAAGAGTTTGTTCAAAGAGAAAAGGAAAGGGGAAATCAGTTCAGTGCACTTCTTTTAGCGCCGCAGTAAGTTCATTACTTGGGACCAGTGAGAGGCCTACTGAGAAGAAGTTCAACCCGCAAGGGGTGTAATTTATTAACTTTCACTCTAGGAAATAAGTCTCTGTGGTAGACCAGTGATGAGTATGAATACGATCACACATCTTCCGATGATGGAGGCTATTCTTCAAGACAACATAGACTGATTGTCGTCGGTCATTGAGTCCCAATCGAGCTTATTACCTCCGAATAGAGCGAGCTCTTGAATAACACCATAGTGATTCCAATGAGGCAGCAACGTGTAGAGGTTGTCCACCCCTCATGGTCAACAGCATTGACCAACTCTTGCCCTGAGCAGTAATCTTACCACCCCAAGGAACCCATCATTTGAACTTTGGGAAGCCGAACCGGCGATGACCAGATGAAATAGAGGTGACTTTCCATGAAGAGACTGCCTCAACTGGTGAGGATTTCTCTGCACCTAAGCAGAGATTTAACTGCCCCTGCCCAGCTGATTCAACAGCTCATGCAAGTGCCGTTCAACCACAAGAATCAAGAGCGTCAATAATTGCAGGTGGTAACTTAGCTTGCCCGAAAGATGGCAGACAATCTTCCAGGGTTCTGAAGCGTCACTGCAGCCCGAGAAGCACTTTATGAAGGGTTGTGAATTCACGACTCTCCACGAAATCATTGAGCAAGTCAACGGTCGATCTCCAAAATAAATGAGAGATGTGCTCAAAATCGGACAGCTCAGCAGGGCCGTGACCATACTCAACATATTGAAGCTTGATTGTATGTGGAATGGAAGACTATACTCATCAAAACCCAGTGATGGAGAAAGCCTTTTAAAACAAGGGTTTAGGGAAAGCAATTCACGGCTAAAATCAACAAATATCGAGCTCCTTTTGTGTCTGCACAGCATCGTTTGTGGTTGAAGAGGAATAATACCCCCATGGCTCCGTGTGCAACCTGGAATTCATCACCTTAGTGCGGCGGCAAATGGTCTGAAGCGTCCCTGAGATCCAGTCCAGATTCGCCCGTGCCGTTTGAGATCCGAATTGTCCATCTTGCTGTTTCTGCTGAGACTTCTGCACTGCTGCTACCAAATCATTTACCACCGCCTCCAGCCGATCCGTGGCCGACACGAGGAGAATTCGCTTGTGGTCGCGATCATCCTCGTCCGATAGCTGAAAATTCCCAATCGCAACTTTCAACCCCTGAAGGTAAGCTTGGGGGTTTCTACATACGTGACAGAGCATAAGTACGGCCCGCTGCAATGCAATGGTGAATATAATGAGTCCGGTTGGTGTCTTCTGACACGCGTAGCAGCAGATATGTTGAGCGGTGGCTTGGGTTATTTGTCGTGCGTCGGCCAGTATTTGGTCTAATTTCAGTCCATCATAGTCCACATGTCCACACAGCTCGGCAATGCATTGGAGCTGGGTCTTGAGACAGGAGCACTGCTTTTGGGATCTTTCACACATAGTATCTAGTCCCAGCCAAGGAATGCTCGGTGATTCAAGGGCAAATGCCGGGGATTGAGGTGCGGGTTCTGCCTGCGATACAGGTCCAGGTTGGTGCCCGAGCAGCTCATAAGTTAACGCGGCTGGGGACAGTGTCCTCAGGGGGCTGCGGCTCTACCGGGGTATGCTTGAGTCAATCCCAGCAGATGGTAGTCCCAAAAGGCAGACAACTTACGGCTAGATCATGCAGTTCAAGGTAGTCCAGGTCACCCGTTAAGATGTTGGGGAAGGTGAGACCCGTGGCTGCGGAAGATTCGACTCCGAAGTTAGTGGACGGCACGATATTCGATGGCCCGCCATCCGTATCCCGTGGTAGGCTGGCAATCTCTGGCGAAAGCATAGCATTTCCCAAATCCATGATGACTGATTCTGGGCTACTTTCTGTAGCTGATAAGGTATCACTAGAGGGGCCATGGACGCGCTTTGTCCTCATCCGACCACTTCTCAGCGAGGCCTTGTATTGACAAAGCTGGCCTTTTGTCCTGCATCTCTGGCAGGGGCTTCCACCATCACATCTTACACGAGCGCTGCGACACAATTCGCAAGCTAAGCGCAGCTTTCTACCTGTTCGCTCTGTCGAGGTGTTTCCGCCGGAAATGCTTGGGGATGGTCGTCCTTGTCTATCGGTATGTTTCCACCGCATAACAAGGCCATCTGGTACTTGGGAAGATGAGACCATTTTTGACGGATCAGATGAGTGAAGATTCAATAATGTGCGAGGTAGGACACATGGCAAATTCGTATTCAATTCCGTGAGATCCCATCATTAATGCAACGGATCCCGATTGTCATGCTTTACCCTTTCGGGCAAGTCGCTCACCGAAAATTACCTGATTGGGTAACCCCGTGATCGCTATGCGAGCTGATGCCTCGCTAATATCAAGGCAAGGGCATGTTTTCCATTAGGTTTAGGAATTGCGCTCTGGTATATAAATCCAAGGGCATGCTCTGTTCTCGCAGATATGATGCGCATCGACGGAGCCCCCCTTATCCACAATAGTGCTTTGGTGTCAGATCGTTGACCAAAGCTTGACCAATCTGTCCATCCTCATGTTGTCAGATAAAGAGATCAACATTGAGCATGGCGCTGCTAGCTCACTGAAGAGCAACGGTAATGAGCCACAGCAGCGGCAGGAGCCATCGCCTATCCCCAATGGTGGACTAGCAGCCTGGTCACAGGTCCTCGGGGCGCATCTGTTGTTCTTCAACTCTTGGTAGGTCCTTCATCGTTGACGTAGCAGAGCACCTGCTAACCGCAAACAAGGGGAATCGTCAATACATATGGAACATACCAGGCTTACTACGAAAGTGATCTGCTGCGTTCCTGCTCCTCTTCCGAAATTTCATGGATCGGAACATTCCAGGGCTTCCTTCTCATTTTCTTCAGCATCGTTGGTGGCCCGATATTTGATCGAGGATACATTCGCCCCTTGCTTATGGCAGGGACATCCTTAACAGTCTTCGGAATGATGATGAC